AGGGGCTGGGATGGGCTGGGCTAACGCAGCCGTCCAACAGCGGCGGAGCGCCGCAAAGCCCCGCGTCCCATTGGCCTCAGCACGGTTTACATCGGCTTGTTTCTGCTGCGTGGAAAAAACTGTTTCGTTTGACACACTCTTTCTCCTGTCTTTCAGGTTATGTCGTAACCACAGAACTACCGAGCAGTGATGGAATCACTGGACACTGAGGTGAGGGCACGGAAGACCCTGGGGACTGTGGAATATGTGGAATCTTCAGGCTTCGCGCAGGGGGTGCTGCCCACCAAGAAGGATGTGGTGCAGAACATGCTGTACCTGCTGCAGCCCAAGAGGGCCGGCCAGGCCCAGCGCTCCAAGGAGGATGCGGCCCAGCTTCTCGCAGAGCACCTGCAGGAACACTGGCTGGTCTGCAACCTGCACACCATCGCCACGCAGAACATAAAGAAACTCATCCTCAAAATGTATGAGGAGTTCACCCGATTGTACCAGACCAGGAAGCAGAGACAGAACCAGGCTTTTTCTGAGCGGGCCGACAGATTCAATGAGAGTTCAGAGAAGCTCTTTGACGTGTTTTGTACAGACACACAGATGAGGGATAAACTGGAGGAGTACAGTGGGATAAAAATGACCAGCATCGAGTGGAAGTTTCTGGAAGATCAGAGGAACGAGAGAAAAATGTATTATGAAGATTTCACAGAGAAGCAGGAGCTGAAGATGATGGAGAGAAGGCAGAAGATACAGTGTCTGGAGCACTTCAGAAAGCTCGCCAGGGAAGAGAAGGAGAGCAGCAAGGCGAAGGAGATGAAGTACAAGGGTGAGGAGCAGTCGGATGAGGGCACAAGTGTTGATGAGCTGTACCCTGCGGAGGAGGAGAACGGTGGTGCCCCGGCCTTCTCGCTGCGGGGCCGGCGGAAGCGCCGCTGCACCGCAGCCGCCACCGGCACTGACCTGCCCCTGGAGGGCGAGCACATACGGATGAGCATCCGCAGGGTCAGGCCTGGCTTCTACGAGACTGTAGAAAAGGTGAAAAACTGCTAGCGCCCGCCACGGAGAGCGGGCAGAGCTGCTGGAGTACAAGGTGGCAATGCACACGTTAGGCAAGTTTGAAATCCCACCATCCATTGGAAGTGATTGTTGTAGATCCACAAGCCAGAGCACAGGAACATGCTGCCTCCAGGGAAGAGGGCTGGGATGATGACAGTGGCAACAAGGACTAAACCACATGGATTTGGAAGGATGAGCTGTCAGCAGCCAGCGATGCCAAGGCTCAAATGCAGCGGATGATCCAAAGTTACGTAGCACATAAGCCTCTTCTTTCAAGGTCCTGTCTGCATCCATGGGGTTAGGAAGTCTCTCAACATTTCTGAGCCAGTGGTCGCCTAACAGCGTGAATCAGGACTCGGATTTACTGCAGGGTGATAACTCAGACTTGTTGCTAACAGAAAATCCGTGTGCTGAAGAGCCCTGGCTGCAGTGGGGGTGAAAGGTGCTTGGCCTCTTCCTGCGGGAGCTGGCGTTTCTGCCAGGAAGGAAGTGGGTTTGCAGCGTGTGTCACCAGCCCTAGAGAGGCACGCTGTGCTTTTGGAAAGGGACTGCTCTCCTGCTCGAGGAGTGGGCAGAGAGCAGGAGACAGTGGAGTGCTTTGGCTGTTAAAGCATTGGTGATTCTGAATGTTTTATTCTAGATTCTATTTTACCAACGTTTCCTTGATCAGGATAAACCTTCCCATAACTGGATGAGTTTTATCATTAAGTTCCCTAATCTAGGATCTGGGGTGTGAATCCTAAATGAAGTGGTAATGTTTTATCTTTGGGGGGAGGGGGTTAACATAGGAGAAAATGCAAATTGCATTATTTAGTTTTAAGATGAGAGTAATTTTATAAACTGTTATACTGCATTTTTAGGACATATGGAAGAAAAAGCCTTCCCAGGTGTAGCTGTGGTGTTCACAGCAGTATGCACCCAGATGTGGGCTTGCTCTTCCACCCCCGAGGTGGTGTAGACCAGCAGGGGGGGAGATGGTAGTTTTCCACCCAGAGGTTGTTTGAACATGTGTGACCCTCTTGCCCACGTATATCCTGAGCAGTGATGTATCTGTGACTTTTTTAGTTAAGAGTTGCTTTATTGGTTTTTAAAGGTGAGAGACTTGAACTTCCAGTGAAACCCAGTGCTGGAGATCTCTCTGGTGAGATGCGCAAACCTTGCCAGACCGCACTGAAAATGGAAAATCCCCGAGTCTCTTACTTGTCCACAAAAGATCTGTGGTAGAAAGAGCGCAAACTTGCCTGGTTTTAAAATTTACCTTCCAGTGTGAATGTTGGTTTCCCCACTCCAGTATCTCAGCGTTTCCCCGTTTCTTTCCTCTCCGTCCTGCACATCATTTACTGACGTTAACTCGTGCTCTTTCATTCTTTGGCTTTTGCTCCCTTTAACAATAAATGCATGTACGAATAATTTTGACAGTTCATTTACTTTTGATGAATCAGTCCTCGGACTGCTTTGAAGTCCTATGCCAAAGGAGGAATGAAACTCAGAGCAGCTGCTGGTGCCCTGGAACACGGCGGCCCCAGCCGGGCTGCCCAGGCAGGCTCCAGCCTCGGCCACCTGGCATGGATCTGTCCGGCTGTGAGCTGCGTGTCCCTTCTCAGGGACCCTGCTCCTTAGTGCCAGGGTCGTTGCTCTGTGTCTCTGACAAGCTCTTCATGGTAAGTTGCTCCAAAGTATTTAGTGCCCGCCACGTGCTCTGCGCCATTCGTAGTTTTACAGGTTTGGTAGCAGCACCCTTGAGCCTCCGCTGCCTGAGGCTTTGCAGCCTCCCTCCATCTCCTCTCTCTGATGTGCTTCACTGACCTCCCCATGCAAATTATGTCACGTTTAAACTATTTGCCTTCCAGCACGGAGGTGCTGGATTGAGCCTCTCACTGGGTCTCTACACCAGCAGCTCTGTTTCAGCAGGGAATATAGCCAAGCTCAGACCTCGCCAAAGTAGAAGTTTTTTAATAACTGCTGTAAGCCCCCTTTTTATTACAAATATAGCTGACAGTATAAATGCTTGTGTGTAAAGCAAATCCATCAGGGTTGGCTCGGATACAGAACACAGCTGTATAGTGCTTTATGATTTTCAGGGATTCAGGGAATTTAAGGTTGTCAAATTTGACTTCCTGTCTACCACAGGGAATTACATTTCATTCAGAAGCCCCACACTCAGCCTGCTGGTCTCAGTTGAACTGAAATGTCTGACAGAAAGTCAAACCACAGGTGTCAGCAGTCTGCTGTCTTCCTTGTTATCTACTTAGTGATTAGTCACCTTCACTATTTCAAAAAAAGATGAAAAAAAATCCGATCAACTTCTAGGCTGTGATTCTTTTTCACAACATCCTATACAGGCTGAGCAGAGTTTATCACAATGAAATCATATTTGGGTTTTTTTAACTTGGTTTGACTGTGGATAGAGCCAAAGCCTGGCTCTGTTTCTGCTGCAACAGGGGAAAATTTCTAAATCATGTATTCTGGTATTCTGATTACTCTTCTTTGGGACCATGGTGCCTTTTTAATCAGGACAGTAAATCTTGTCCTAGGATTCTGTACTTTTGTACGTTAACAGTTGCTGACTTTCCTTTTTGGTGTGTCCCAAATAAATTAATATAACATACATCTGGGCTTTTGTTTCTTCTTTCTAAAGGGGGAGGAAAGAGGAAACTGAAGCTAAAGTAAATCTCTGCTTCAGCTCTCCTTCCCAGGCCCTTGCAGGAGCAGCTGGGATGCATGCAGGTGGAGCTGCTCCCCTCCAGACCATGTGGGGCGGTGGTAGGGCAGCTGCAAGAAATTGGGATCTGGCACAGGGGCCCTTTTATTCAAAGATGCTGGAGCCTGGAGCAGCTGGAGGTAAGGGGAGAAGAATAAAATATCTGCACATTGTGGCAGTGTTTCATGGGGACTCTCAGTGTGCCTCAGGTGTGGTGGGACTGGTATCAGAGACAAAGGTCTCTGCCTTCCTGGTGTGATCCCATGCATGACTGTTCCACTGCTGCCTGTTCTCTCCTGACTGTGGTTCAGGGATGTTGTTTGAGATGAGTGAGGGGCAGTTGTGTCCAAGGGAGACATGGCGATGGTTTGCACCACAGGACTTCAACAAGGAAGAGAAATTGGAAAGGAAGAAATGCTGGAAAGGGGTGTGTTTGCATCAACGGCTTTTGCAGGAGGGAATTGAGGTGCATCCCAGGAGCTACAAATACTTTTGCTGGATGCTGAGTCACTGATTTTATTGGGGATTTGGGGAGGAACATTGTCAACCTTCGGCCCTTGAGTCCTGGTTTCTGCAGAGAAAGCAGTAGAAAGGAGAGAGCATCCTGAAAGCCCTGCGCTCCAGCCAGGGACCCTGGCAGCCAAGCAGGGTACGTGCCAGCCCCAGGCAAAAGCTGCCCTTTTGCAGCCCTTACAACTTTCTTAGAGCTTCCCAGGCTGGTCTTGAGTGAAGTTGTACAGAAACCACCTGATTTCCCAGCATGGATGTGCCTCTTCATGTGGCCACTGCTCTGCCTCCCGCCCCTCTCAGAAAGGGGAAGGAACACAAAAAAACCAACCCAAAATGCAAATCATGGCACTACTGAGTGGGCTGGATGTGGAAAACAATGTCTGTGACTCAGCACAGAAAGAGTCACATAGTTGGAATTTAAAACAAGTCCAAGCCCAGCACTGTGGGCATATGGCTCATGGAGTGCTGGGCAGTGCCTCCCCACGAGGGAGCTGGGTGGGCAGGGGGAAGTGCCAGAGCCTTGTCTTAGACCAGCTGTGCCAGAGAGGTTAACACAGGGTGACAAACTGGGGAAAACAGTGCTCCTGGAAACAGTGGAGCAGACCTGTGAGGCTGTGTCACAACTGTGCTTGTGCTCAGTGCCTGTGGCCAGGCTTGGGCAGAGCTCCAGGAAGGGAGATGAACCTCCTGTGTCACCTGACACCCACATTTTTCCCCTGGGGGGATGCATGAGACAGATGGTGGCAGAGCTGGGCACAGAAACCGCTCCTGAATGCTGACAGGAGCTGCAGAGTGAGCCTTTCCATAGGCAACCACATTAATTTATTAACCAGATTTATTAACACATGCAAGGGTATTTCCTGCTCCAAGGGTGTTGTCTTGTTATTCTTCCCGAGTTTCTTGACAGCAGATGCTTCCTCCTGGCACAGCTTTGGAGGCAGCAGATACTGCTCCAGTTTTTTAAGACACAGCAATGAAAGTTCCTCCCTGTATTCCCTTGTGCTGCCCAGCAGCGTCCCCTCTTGCACCGTGCTCTGATCCTGCTCAGGTTGGAGTTTGCCCCGTGGCCTGGTGACAGATGTGCACAGCCACAGCACCCTTGGCAGAGCCTGCGGGGCAGCCCAGACACACCTTCAAGAGGGAGGGAGGCTAGAAATTGATTCTGGGGAAATCCAAACGTCTGGGACTTGGGGTAGGAGCTGTTGAGCTTTCTCCTTCCCAGCTACCTGGTACAGAGCAGCCATGCCCCCAGACTTTTCTATGCCAGATGCTTTCAAGTAGTCAGCTTCCCCCTGGCTCCACACTTTTTTCAGCTCCGTATGCTCAGTTTTGGAAGTGGACACTGACAGAGCTGTGGGCTGCACCTGCCCAGGTGTTCCCTGGGAGTACTCAAGGCACTGCCATGGCTCTGGCAAAACATTTGCTTGTTCAGCATCCTCAGTTGTACCCCTACACACCTTTTGTGGAGTTGCTTTGTGTGTCAGTGCTTCCGATTGCCCCACAGAAGCTGCCTGTAACCTCAGGAGATCAGTTTGCTTAATTGGCCCAGTCTCCAGAAGCATTTTATATCCTTTTTCAGGCCAATGTGCACCAAAATCACTCACATCTTGTCTCCTCTGTCTCTGGAATCCTGTGTCTCTGTGAGCACCCAGACAGTTCCTCCTGTGTTTCTATCTTGAGACATACCACATTGTCCATGAGAGATGCTGGGAAGGGAAGTGGAGAATGTGGGGGGAGGACACACTCAAAGGCACCCACACCCTGACTCTCTTTTGTTGCTGTCACATCCCCAGCTGTTGGGCCCTTACTTCCCACATGCTCCTGCAGCTGAGTTTCTGAATGAGAGAAGCAGGTCCTGTGGAAAGTCCAGAAATTTTGGGAGCTGCCTGGGTGGCCACAGATATGAGAGAGGTGGGAGCCCCTCGCCAGAACCTCACTGACCCCCTCTCCCTCGTCAGTCCAGGATGGTCCCCGCGGGTTGGGTGTCCTTGCCCAGCAGCACAGCCGATCCCACGCTGGCTGCTGCCGCCCGGAGCTGGGGTGGTGCCTGGGGCTGGGGGGCTGGGACAAGCCCAGTGCCGCCGCGAGGGAGGGCCGGGTTCAGGTTACGGCCTCGTACAGAAATGAGTGGGGCTGCGAGAGTCCAATGAGGTTTCTGGTGCCGCGGCAGAGGTGTATTAAAGGCGAGTGTCCGGGCGGCTGCGGGCTCCGGCAGTGTCCCCGGGCATGGCGGGGCCGGGCAGCGACGGGGACCTGCGGCGCCTGCTGAAGCTGCACCGCACCGAGATCGCCATGGCAGTGGACGACGTCTTCCCACTGCTGCATGGCCTGGCTGACCACGATGTCGTCCCTGATCACATCTTCAAGGTGAGGGTGCGGAGCAGGACAGGCCGGTGATGCTGTGGGGGCCGGGGCCGGAGGAGGGCCGGAGGGCAGCCCGTAGGCCGTGGTGTGCCTGGCAGGAGACGCTGAGCCGGACGGAGCGGGAGGGCTCCCACCGCGCTTTCCACGCGCTGCTCACCTGGCTGCTGGGCCGCGACTCTGCCGCAGTCCGCGACTTCTGGGCCGTCCTCTTCAAGGACTACAACCTGGAGCGGTACTCCCGGCTCCGGCCTCTCCGCGGCGCCTTCCCCAGAGGTAGCAGGGGCTCAGGCAGAACTGGCACCCCGGCGGGCTGACAGTGCGCAGGGGTGACAGCCAGGGTGCCGGTGCCTGTCCCCGTGTCTGTTCTTCTTGCAGAGGTGGAGCTGGGGCGGCAGCGCCGTGGAAGGCGCTTCTCCCCGAGCCCCACAGCACCGGCCCCACACAGACCCCAAGGCAAGAGGAAAGCCCCTGAGGAGCGGGACAAGGCCCGGGCAGCACAGTCCGCTCCACGGCACAGCGCCAGTCCTGGTATGGAGACCCAGAGCAGGACGGAGACGGGCCAGGGTGCTGCCCCCGAGGTATTGTGAGGTACTGTGCCCCCTGACGCCCATCCTCACAATGCTGCAGGGCCCCTGATGAAGGCAAAGACTGTGAAGAAGCCGGAGGGCACAGATACCCCCCGCACTTCTCGTGCCAGCGGTGAGTGCCAAAACCCCCAGGGCAGCTTCTGCCTGTCCACCCTGTTTTCCCACAGCCGTGGGCAGGGGCTGCCCACCCCACTAAGCTGCTCCCCTGCCTGCAGCCCTCCAGGCAGTGGCTGCTTCGGTGCAGAGGGCAGTGGCTGTGGCAGGTGGTGAGGTGCCCGTCAGCCGTGGGGCCATCGAGGGCATCCTCATTAAACATGTGCTGGATCCACGTAAGTACAGCCCAGCCACCTCCTGCCCAGTTTAGTCCCCAAATTCAGGAGCCACCCTCAGGCAGGGCAAGGTGGGGAAGGGAAGCTGGAGCTGCCTCTGGCCTCTCTTGCAGGCAGCTCCAAGACAGTCAGCAGAGCTGAGGATGAGCCATATAACCCTGCTGCCTGCGAGGAGCCAGAGGCCAGGAGCAGAAGCCACAGCCTGAAGCCCTCTGCCCAGCCCAAGGCATGCCAAAGTGTAGAGACACCCCCCTCATATGTTTTGACCCCCATCTTGTGCAGCTGCCAAGGCTGTGGCAGGGGGTTGTTTCTGCATGGTATCATAGCCATGGCCTGGGAGTGTCCCCCAGTGCAAGCAGTGCCTCTCCAAGCCCCTTCTTGTGTTGCCAACAGAACAGGGAACCCCAACTGCACCCCCAGGGCCAGCTGCCAGCAGCCACTGTGTTCAGCCAGGACCCTGTGCCCCAGCAGGTGAGCCCTTGATATGACACCTGGTGCACCCCCAAGAGGAACTGTTGGGGTTTCCCTGGCATATCTATTTGCCCTGGCCTTGAAAAGGAAACCCAAGGCTCAGCTACTGGGGGTTCACCAGGTTACGACTCCCAAGAGACAGGCAATTTTGCCACCCTTAAAGGATTGGTATGTTTGGTGAAGGGTGGGTGATACAGGGGGAGAGGGCAAGGGGGATGACAGACCTTGCCACAGCCACGGCTTCAGCCTGTGAGGGTGGCAGTGATGCCCTGCCCACTCCCCTGAGGACAGGAGAATGAGGATGAGTGTGCAGCATGCGGTGATGGTGGTGAGCTCATCTGCTGTGACGGCTGCCCCAGGGCCTTTCACCTTGCCTGCCTGGTGCCCCCACTGCCCCATGTCCCCAGGTGAGTCCCAGGGCACACAGGCCTGCTAGTGCCCCCTG